GGGTTTCATTTACCTTGAAAAATACAAAGACTCTTAGTGGGCTTGAGTATTATGTGTTCACAATAAAGTAAAAGACATTTCTTTTTCTTGTCATTTCAAGAAATAGAAAAAAAAAAAACTAACATTTAAGAGAACTTCTACATTCCAAGTACTATAGCAAGTAAGGGGGTTGAAGGGACTTCAAAAAGTTTATGAAAAATGTGTATTGTGAAAAAAAAAATTTTTTTTGGAGAGGTTTTCGCTATAGGGTGCGTGCACTTGCCAGACAGACAGAGAGAGACAGAGAGACTGAAAGCGAGAAATCACCCCCCAGGGGGGATGGCCACGCCACAATCGCTTCTCCTCCATTCTCTTCTCGGGATCTTGGGCAGCCACGCACACGCGCCCGATGTGAGTTTTAACCCACCGGGTCCAGGATGCGAACCATGGTTGACTGCATGGGAGTCCAGCAACATGGCCATTATGCTAACTGCTGGTCCCAGTGAGGAATCACACACCTCCCCCCCCCAAGGGGATGGCCACGCCGCAATCCTTTCTCCTCCATTCTCCTCCTGGGATCTTGGACACACATGCACACACACCCGGCGTGAGTTTAAGCCACTGGGTCTGGGAGTCAAACCGCGGTAGACTATATGGGAGTCCAGCGACATAGCCATTAGGCTAACTGCTGGTCCCTTGTGAAAAAATTTTTCACACCAAAACAAACCTGTACTTTAATTCTACTTTTCTATCAACTTTTAGAAGAACCCTTGTGCTTTCTATGAATTAGCTTAGAAAGCAACCTTCACAAGTAAGTATTATCTTAGTTCCAGCTTACTGAAAGGAATATTTACAGTTGGAAAGTAAGCAGCAAGCCCATAGGTGCATGTTCCTAGGACCGTGGTGCCTGACTCAGCTCCCCCAGCTCAGCCAGTGTACCCCATCCCCAGCTGTACCTACTGACTCACAGCAGCCCCCTTCTCCAAAGCATTGTTCTCAGCTCATGGGAGCCACCTCACCCAGTAAATGAGATAACCCTGAAGAGGAGGTTGCACACCTCAACCAATGACTGACTGATATGGAGTACCAAAGACCAGCCTCTCTGCCTCCACTAAGGACAGTTTATGCCAATTTGGCAAATAATACTGGTGAAGGAAGTGAAATCAGTAAAACCCTTTCAGCATTCCATTACTTGTCAATAGCAGTAAATGAAAAGTCAAATTAATTAGTCAAAAAATATTAGACAGTCAAATTAAGATAACCATTAATAAGAAAGAGCACCAGAGATACAAGACAAATTCCAAAAGTAATTACATTACTAAATAAAAACCTGAAACTTGTTTTCCAGGTTCTAAAGCATGTCCCTGGCAGTAGTTAACATCAAATAATTCCTGAACAGCCTAAAATCCAGAGACTGAATTAATTTTAACAGGGCTTTAACCAGAATGTTTTGGAGTGCTAAAACAAATGAGAACATTCAGGACTTAGCTTTTTAAAAGCAGATTTATTTACCAATATATTTTTTGATTTATACTTAGCAAAACTGGAGTAAGAAACATGCATATTTCCATCCTGTCACATGAAATCCTAATAGCACTTAGAACTCACTTTCAGTTCAGCTTATGAGTTTCTAACAGATGTCCGAAGAAAACAAGCTTACATGCCAGCAGTTTTGAGACATAACAAGCAGACCCTGGAACTCTTCACTTGCCTTTCCCTCACATATTTGAGGCACCTTGTTCCTGGATCGGTAGTGTTATATAGCAATGGGAAGAGTATATGAAGATTATGTAATAATTCTGTGTCAAAGCCAACCTCCGAGAATATTCCTCTATAATTTGAGCACCTAGCTTTTCACAGCAGAAATATTCACCTCTCTAGGATTTGTTATAAGCTTCATGAAAGCATTTTAAAACATGGAATTAAAGCTTTCACTTTCAGCACTTAAACAAATATATTTAGCAAATCCCTGAGGCAGAGAGGTTCTCAAACTGAGATCTGGACTTACAATATGGAGATTTCAATATATTGCCTGTTGGAAAAGTCATGACACTTTTTCATTTTTTTGAGAAAGAGATATTTTCTGCTATAAGGCGTGTCACTGAAGAGACAGAGATAGAGAAACAGAAAGCGAGAAATCACCCTCCAGAGAGGATGACCACGCCACAATCCCTTCTCCTCCAATCTCCTCTCAGGATTTTGGGCACACATGCACATGTGCCCATGGTGAGTTTTAAGCCTCTGGGTCCAGGACTTGACCAGAGTCAACTACATGGGAGTCCAGTGATATAACCACTACGCAATCTGCTGGTCCCATGACACATTTTTGCACAGAAAAATACATGATGATTTTTCTAACGACCCAGTATTTTACCTCTGGCATGAAATCATGATTTATTTATAAGACCTTTGTCAGGTTCATCATTGATACTTACTCTCTGTAAACTAATTTTATAGTGATGTCTTTTTTTTTTTTTCTGAGAGAGATTTTTGCTATAGGCATGTGTGCTTGCCAGAAAAATAGAGAGAGACAGAGAGACCGAAAGTGAGAAATCACCCCTCAAGGGGGATGGCCACACTGCAATCTTTTCTCTTCCAGTCTCCTCTCGTAATTTTGGGCATGCACGCACATGCACCCAGCATGAGTTTTAAACTGCCAGGCCCAGGACTCAAACTGCAGTTTACTACATGGGAGTCCAGCAACGTAACCATTATGCTATCTGCTGGTTCCATAGTGATGTCTTTTTAGTGGATATAAATATATGGCTGCCATGTTAAAATCATTCTTGGACACAAAAAGCTGAATTATACTTTTTAAAAATCCTTAGAGTTTTGAACACAATACATGGTAGTTTTAACAATAGTTATCTATATGAAACTTATAATTTACTACTTACAGAATCTAAATAAAGGTTGAGTTTCCCATGATCATGTTCTACTTTCTTCACTATCTCATTCAGAGGGATTGCGTCTGAAGGTACAGTAAAGCCACTGAGTAGGTTAACTTCCATAAGGGCCATGCCACTCCTAGATGGGCTTAAAAACCTAAATCAAAGAGGAAAGCCTGTAAGAAAATCTTTAAAAAAAAAAAACCCTAAAGCTATTAGTAAATGATTATATAAAAATGTTAAATATTAAATGTTATTACAAAGACAATTCAAGTTTAAATAAAATTCTCTATAGAAAATTTTAAAAGAGATTATCCTTTTCTTACAAGTGTGGTTTTGTTGTTGTTGTTGTTTTAATTTTAGTTTTGTTATAGGGCACATGCACTCACCAGAGGCAAAGAGAGACATGCCTAGCATGTTTCTCAAGCCACCTAATCCGGGACTCGAACCACACAGTTGGCCATGTGGGATCCAGCCACCTTAACCATCTGCCACCTGGATGGTCCATGTGTGATATTCTTATAACTTATAACCATGAGGAATGATAATATAACAAAGTGTTTCCTTGCCAGAGAGTGTGAAATGCCTGCAATGTAACAGGCATGTGTTTGTAGGTTATAATGGGTACAGCCTACATCCTTTCAACAGAGAACTGTTTTCTAGTGGTAACTCCAAACTGAGTTGCATTTTCATTGCCTCAAAAGTGGATGGCACCAAACTTACCACCTGAAAGCCAGGACCTGAAAAGGAGGCATCACTTAACACTTAGTGGTAGACCCTAGTCAAGTTGTTAGCCACCTTCACTTCATCTGGTTTTAGGAGGAAAAATAAATTAAAAAAAAAAAAAAACCAGTAGGGAGAGACCTTCCCTTAGTTCTCCCACATACCTGGAGTGAATTTTGTATTTTCTTTGGCCAGATAGATAGAATTCTAAACCTTGTAAAATTTTATTATACTGCATCCTTCTCTCACTGTTGTACGCAATGTAAGCATCAAGGGATCTGGATACCAACATTTTGTCTCTTTGAAAATATTTTTTTTCTAAAATAACGAGGCAGCACACATCTTTCATTTGGAGCAGAAAGAGACCCACATGGTTATGAAAAGAAGTCTGCCTCCAATGTGAAAGGATCATAGATAGCATTGGTAAGTTAGTTCCTGCTGTCCTTTTCGATGGTCAAAGCAAGAAGGGCTATTAGACAATCTTGCTTTTTACAGCAGTGAACCAATGCCTGCCAAACACGACTGATCGAAAAGCCACACAGTACAACTGCTGAATTTAGCTGGCTTGCAAATCTACAGTGACTGAAACCATCTGTTGGATGATGTGCTTTGCCAAAACAGATGCAATTGAAAACTAATAACTGAAGGTGTTTGTATATGAATAAAAATTATATATGAGAAAAACAGTGAATCTGCTCAAATACTTAAAGGGACAATACAGATTGTACTTTCAGTACATCATTAAACATGCCTTGGTTGGCATGGCCCTTCCACCAGACAGGGGCAGAATTTAAACTACCATGCCACAAAGAAAAGCTTTTCTGAGGTCAAGCCTTTGACCCTGCTGATGGGAATAAAGTGCAGAAAATATCAGATAATTGTTTTAAAAGTGTCACTGAAAAAAATTCACTTGAATGTTGTCTGTGTTTCATATTAGATTTCTCTCAGAAAACCAGTAGCAGGATTCAAATCCCTTTATAAAACTTTTATCCTTGCATGAAAAATTTTCCTTCTTCAGGTTCTATTTACCAACTACAGTCTGTTGTCCACCTGATTCTTGACACTGGATTAAGACTTGGAATCCTGCATCCTTACATGAATCCCTATAATTGATGAGGTCACTTCAAGGCCTGAATCCTAGTCCTGCCTCACTTTTCTCACCTTTTTCTGCGCTTTAGCTCCCAAGAGGTAAATATGCCCCTCATAGCTCTATGAAACTCTTCTTCTTTGCCTTTTTTAAAACTAGAATTTTAGATTTGCTTAAGGTTTTTTTTAATTAAGTTTTTTCCACATCCAAATAGTAACTCCATGAAGGCAAGATGTGTCTTTTTTGGATCACCATTATTTTCTCACACCTGACACTGTTCATGGCAAATAGAGGAACTTAATATTTACCGAATGAATGAACAAATGAGAAAAGCAGAGACGACACCTTACTTTACAGAATGATCATAGGTTTAAATGAGATACATATAATAGTGTTCAGTACAGTGCCTGGTGTGTAAGCCTGTACTAATGTAGATTGTTATTGCTTATAATAACTTGATTTTGTTATTCTGAAACAGAGGTTAATTGCAAACCTAATAAAGAATAATATTGGATCATTGGAAAAATCATAACGTATTTTTCTATGCAAAAATGCATCATGACTTTTCTGACAACCTAGTAAGAGTACTATTTTCTTCTAAACTAAAAAGAAAATATTGCAGAGATGCTGGTGGTCCTCTGCCGCTAGTCCAAAATGCCCAAGAAGGTGAGAAATGGGGCAAACGTGTGCCATTTTACCTAAAGTCATGAAGATCCAAAGATAGCTCAGATGGTAACAGTAATAGAGCAGATTGGGTTCAGGCACTAGCTGAGAAGGCTTGACCGCCTGATGAACACCCAGAAGTGACCTTGAAGAGCATCTGGCAGCTCAGTACCACATCCAGTTGTGACTTCCAGTCCAACAATAAGCTAAGTTCAAGCAGAATGCTATGCGATATTGAAAGAGCACAGCAGCTCTTCACTGTCAATGTATGTTTATAGTTAACTCCCAACTCAACACCAAATGATGCAGATTTAAGAAGACAAATTCACAAGAAAGAAATTGTAAAGCCTCTTGACTAAAGAATTTTGTCAAGGAGTTGTTCTCAAACTTGTGTGTGCATTAGAAAGGTCAAGAAGCTGATAAGGGCAGCTTCATAGTCATACTATAATATGAAGTCAGGAGGCTGGCAGTAGAACCCTTTTTCCTATGACTACACAAGATCCTCAGGATGCTTTAGATACAAACCAATTTAAGAATCACCTTAATAAGTTCTCCCAGAAGCATCAGCTGTAAGTGCCTAATTATCCAAGATGAAAATCTAAACTGGAATATTTTCAGTGGGTCTTAGGAAAAAAATATATTATCTCCAGGAATTTGCAATGCTCTTATAAAGTTTTGGGTTAAAAGATTAAAAGTTGAGGTTCAATATGAACCTAAATAAAATTGTTTCAACAGAAAATACCTCAGAACAAGAAATAACCATTTTTGCAGTATTAATCATAATTTAAAATTTTCTAAAATTAGGCCTGAGTGCTTTTTTATTTTCTGTTTTTTGTTTTGTTTTGTTTTTTCGGGGTTTTTTTGAGAGGTTTTTGCTATAAGGCACATGCGCTCACCAGACAGACAGAGACAGAGAGACGGAAAGCGAGAAATCACCCCCCAAGAGGGATGGCCACGCCGCAATCCCTTCTCCTCCATTCTCCTCTCGGGATCTTGGGCATGCATGCACACGTGCCCGGCGTGAGTTTTTTAAGCCACTGGGTCCAGGACGCGAACCGTGGTCAACTACATGGGAGTCGAGCGACATAGCCATTACGCTAACTGCTGGTCCCAGGCCTGAGTTTTAATTGATATATTTTTCTATTCAAGTTTGCTATAAACAAAAAGAAAAAATGTATATATTTTTGGACATGTCTAAGAAATGCTTAAATATAATTAGTCTGTAATTTGAAATGTAACTTGTAACTTAATTCTTTAACTCCTTATATTAATATAGTTTGGCAACTATACATAGTTAAATCTTCTATACTTTTTAAGAAAAAAGAAAAGATGAAGAAGGGGACCTAAGCAGATACTACCTTGTGCACACATTCAAATTCACGTGATTGATATCATCTTTATTATCTTCTACAGCAACATCTAAATCAAAATCTTCTTGATTTTCAATAGATCTTCGTCTTCTCGAAGACCCTAAATCTTTCACATTATAAATAACGTTGAGCTGCAATAAATAAAAAAATTAGCATGTATAATAAATTAGCAACATAGTTTTAGCAGTAGATTGTCACTGTTATGCATTCTAAATATTAGGTAATGAGCTTATTTGAGATAAACTTGATTAGATTTGTAATATTTAAACTAGGAAAAATTAGTTTTACTGACTAACAAAGTATCATTAAATAATATTTTTGTAAATGTTTGGATAATATTTTTTTTAATTGAGAAAACTGTTAGCTAATATTCCAGAATAAGTACCATAGAAAGCTGTGGATGAAACTTATGGAATATTGTTTTTTAAAAGAAAGCAAAAAATTTCCATGAGGGAAAAAGTGAAGCTACTATCAACTTTCCCTAGAGCGTTCCCTGATTTTTAAGCTCTGTTGCTTAAATGGGGTCATTCTTCACAAACTTTTGTAGAACCTTAGAAAGGCAATTAGGTAAATCAAAGCTGAAGCATCTTAAAGTCATAGATGAACAGAAACCTATTCAACTGCAAAAGATTCTTTCTGGTCAGACACTTTTCAAGGATGATAAAATAAATCATGGATTTGGGCCATGGTGGTGAAGGCACTGGACTTTCACGTGGCTGTTCGAGTCCTGGACCTGGTAGCTTAAAAATCAAGCCAGGCACGTATGTGTGCATGCCCAAAATTCCAGGAGGAAATGGAGAAGAGATTGCAGTAAGGCCATCCCTCCCAGGGGAGGGTGATTTCTCACTTTCCATCTCACTGTTACTCTCCAGGGAGCGTATGAGCCCTATGGCAATAAGTAAATAAATAAGTAAGTGAATGAGTGAGTGAGTTCAAGTCAACTAGGGTTTTCCGGCACATGCTTTATGAGCACCACTGATTCGAAAGCTGCTGTGGGGACACTGAGGTTGTCTGAGGATCCATGTCTTTCTGAATGAGGTCCTAAATCAGAAACTCAGGAATGTATTCAAAATCCATCCCAGACTCATCCCGGGATGGATTAGTTAGCTGTTTAAATATTTTATTACTCCATCCACTGGTTTGTTTGTTTGGTTGGTTTTATCTGTTTGTTTTTGCTATAGGGTACGTACACTCAACAGAGAGAAACAGAGAAAGAGAGAGGAAAAGTGAGAAATTACCCCTGGCCACCATAATCCCTTCTTCCCCATTTTCCTCTTGTGATTTTGGATACACACAAACACACATGCCAGGCATAATTCTCAAGCCATCGAGTCTGGGTTCAAGTCAGCCATGTGGGATCTAACACAATTACTACAACGCCACCTGCTGGCCCCTGTATTTTCTTTTACTTATGATTAAAACACACACACATTACACACACACACACCCCTCAGAACTAAACATCTAGTACCCTTTGTGGATTTATTACATACTTCAAAAAAGAATCTCCTTCCACACCCCCATTTTTCAAACCCAAGAGTTCCTTTTATTTTGCTAAACTCATACTCATCATCCTTGGCTTTCTTGGTCAATCTGGTTATCTCACTCTAACATTCCTCAACTTTTTTGTAAATTTAACAATTAAAATTATAAACTATTCCTGGAGCAGATGAAGAATGATTTCATAAAATTGGATAGATGGTCTCTGCTATTTTCATCATCTCCTTTCTAGTGAAATGCAATAATCTCTTTACAGTCTAATCAAGCAAGGGCTACTAGATTCGTCCTTAGGTCATGATTCACACCCATCTGTAAGTATTAGGGTTTATATTTGACCTGCAGTAAAGTCAACTGCTTACTCAGAAAACTTAAAGAAACCTTGTGGTTTGTTCCCTATAGTTTAGCATTTGATTACTTAAAAGAAGTTAACATTTACTTCAACTCAAAGAGTTTTCTTTGTCCTTCCTTTTCCAGAGCACTTATAAAACTATAACCTGAAGGGAATTCCAGTTCCCATTTTAGGGTGGCCAACTTCTTTGCCAATTTTTGCTATGTAAGTGCCTACTAGTTCTTTATTTCCTGTTTTGATACTGATATGGAACTGTGAACACTCTAACTAGTAGGTACCAATTTAGCCCTCTGTTCTTCAAATCTCAAGTAAAAATCATTTGGTTTAGTAATTTATCTACACTTGGTTTTAACAAAAATTAATTCCAACCAATTCAGCGATTTTAAACATATGTTTTTCCAATCCTTCTAAAATATACAGCATATTTACTTTTAGCTTTATTCTTTGCATTGAAAGACATCTTTGGAATAAGACTTTTTCCATGGAGTTTGTTAGTAAAGACCAATCTGAATTATTCACTCTTTCTTTTACTATTCTTTCACTGAATACCACTCCTTTTCACTGTGATCATTTTTCCTTGAGTTTTAAAACATGTTTATTGTGGAAAATAATCTTAGAATTGTTTAGAAATTTCCAGATTATACCTGTTTAGCAAGATATCCTTGTTCTATTTAGCAAGTATACCTGTTCCCTTGACTAGGATAATTATACCAGTTTTTTGAAAAAGCACCTTTTCTCTACAATAGCCATTTTGTTGTAAATATTTCAGCAAATATTTCAAGGTTTGTTTGTTTTGTTTTTTCTACTCAAACATAAAATCATTACTGATCCTATCACATATTATTTTATGTCTTTATTAAGTGAAATTTAAGGTCCCTGAGATTTTCATGTACAATTTAGTAGAATAATTATTCCATTCCATATTTGTCATACTACTTTCACTTTATTGTAGCTCCTTCTGTACCATAAAAAGTAATTATTTTTTTAGGTTTCCTTTCTGTGCCAGAGCACTGAATATAATCATGTCGTAATTGTTAAATTGACTATCATACAAAATTTTACATTAAGAGGAAATACTTCCTGTCTTCAAGTCAATATCTTGTAATTTCATGTTGACCTTTACATTCTTAGATGGATATTAAGCAGTTGTTAAGTTAAATGAATACTTGTTAGGTCATTATAGAAACTCTACCAGAATTACAAGTTCTGAACATAATATCACAAAATGTGGGAGTTCCCAATGACCTGCATGAATCATCTTAGAGGACTTTAACCTTCACTTCAGAAAGCAAATAATCCCCAAGAAATGTTCTGTAAATAGATTTTCAATCCACATAATTGCTGTCTATTCACTGCCTGGAAACATCTCTAGTATTTTTTATTAAAAACAGTGATGTACCCTTGCCTAAATCACTAAGTAAATCATTAAGAAATTTATAAAAGTTACCTAAGTGAAAGATTTAGAAATATCCCAAAGAATTATTATAAAAAGTCATATTTAGCTTTTAAAAATAAACATTATTACATACCTGGCAAATTGCAAATCCAAAACCATTTGCGGAAATATTAACTGCAGTTGGCTGTACCACAGCAAGCTGAATAAAAGTTAAAAAAAAAAAAAAGAAAGAAAGAAAAGGGTAAATGAGGCTAATTATATCTGGATCCTTCCAAGCAGCACAGAAGATGAGTGTTATCACTGGGAGCAGAGGCAACCACTGTAAAGCACTAAAAGCTCTGCACGACCTCACAGAGCAAAGCTATGGGTCAACCAGGTCAGCAAGATGAAGACAGAGAAAGGGCAGTTTGTAACCAAGCTCCTTTACCTCTGCCCATCGGGAGGGCACATTAGTGCTAGTGATAGACCTGTCTTCCTGTTGGGGTTAAAGCATGAAAAAAAAAAAAAAAAAAAAAAAGCCTTTCTTTCTCCTAACCTCCCTTAGTGAGGGCCTAGCCCACCAGCCTTCTTGGGAACACAATGACACAACATCACTGACTATACCTAACTTTATTCTTTCTTTCCCTTCCTATCACTCCTCTTCCTTAGTTTTCAGCCTTGAGGTTGTCACCTTCATCCATTGTCCTCCACTTCCCACAAGGTTAACCAGGACAACAAAGTTAGGGACTAGTATACACCTTGGTTCCATTTTGAAGTAAAAATACTACTACTGGTTCTATTGATTTTTCTAGAAGTTCATGTGGTATAGCTAAAAAGGGCAGGATCCTTGAAAGAATGACTTCTAATCCTCTGTCTGCTATTAAAAGTTATATACTCTTGAGTAAGTTAGTTATTTCACTTCACTCTGCCTCCATTTTATCACATGCACAGTGAGGGTGGAAGCACTTCTTAGAGTTCATTTGAGAAGCCACTGCAATCACATGTGTAATCTAGCACAGTGATCGTGAAGAGTAAGAGCTCAGTAGGTACTTGTTCCTTTCCCAATGTGACAGTGCCCATGTTTTCTCCTTTCTTACCAATCTTTATATAAAGTTCTCATCCCCACCACCCTTCCAAGCTCAGCAAATTCATCCAAAGGAAAGCACCTCTTCTCTCTCTCCCTTTACTGGGGTCTGGGAAAAGTCTTTGTTGAAGTTAATCAGAAATAAAGCATGTAGAATCAACTACATAGAATTTTAAGTAATCATCTCTTGTCCACACCTCTGCCGTCTGAAGGAGCAAGCGGTTGTTTGTGTCAACAAGAAACTTTACAGGACGTGGTGAGCTGGGCCCCATCACAGTCATGTGGATATTTGTCCTTTCTGTATTCATTAGTGCTGCAAATTCAGACAGGGCCTTTAAAGCCACAATGGTATCCTGTTGAAGGAAGAGAAATGCTTGTGCATATAAGAATAGAAAAAGGTCTCCAAAGAGTAAATTTAGTAATGTTTAGAAAACCTGAAGTATATTAATCTACCTACCTTGAGCGTAGAACTTTCCCTGACTCATCTTTGAGTCTCCTTTTTCCAAAGTACGGAGAGGCTCAGAAAACATTTGCAGGGTGAAAGAGAGCATCTATTCTTATATCAGTTATCATAGACAAAAAACTGGCTAATAAAAAGAAACTTCAAAAGTTTCTGTTAAAATGGAATTTTAACAAAGGAACATGGATTGGGGCATGACCACACCCCACTGGAGGGGTTTTCTTACCAACCCCGTTCTTTCTCTCTCACATGTGAGCACATGTGCCCTCTAGCAGTTAAAACAAGAAAGAAAAATGGAATTAAAGTCCAAGCTTACTTTGGTGCAAAAACATTTCAAAACCATGCACGTATTTTTTTCTCTTTTACTTATGATAGTGCATGCATGAGAGAGAGAGAGAATCACCCTCATCAGGGTCTTGTCTGCTAGAATCGCCTTTCCCAAGTCATCCAGCTCCTCAGTATCTGGGTGCCCGTGTGTGTTCAGGCCAACCGGGGAAGTGAACCACAGTCACCATGTGTCTTTCAGCACTGCAGGGCACTAGCATTATCACTGTGCCACAGCAGCTAGGCCCATGCATAGTTTTTTCATAATGTGCATTTTTCCTGAATTTTTGAAGATCCCTCATATAGGTGGAGAACTGATTTATTCCACATAAATATCAAATATAAAATTTTTATGATAGAAAGTTAAAAGTTAATAACAAACCTTTGACTTAAGTTATTATACTTTTAAACTGCCAAGCAATATGACATACATGATAAAAAGCACACAAATATATAATAGACATATAGAAAGAGAGAGAGAAATTAAAGAAAAATAAAAATAGAAACCATTATCTCTCACCTGGGTAGATGCAAAACCTCCCAAGCTGTTTCTTTGTCTGCTCAGCCACCTCATAATGGGGATTCCCTCTGAAACCTGGAGCTGCAGGAAGTGTGACAGCAGAGCGTAGGCTGCAACTTCAATATCCAGAGAGCGAGGCTGCCAGGACTCTGACAGCGTGGACACTGATGACACCCAGAATTGCATCTCTCCTGAAGTAACAGCATTTCCATCAATTAGTGAAAAATGACATTTCAGACCATTAAACAATCCTAAGCTGGTTCAAGTTCCACTTGACTAACATAAAAATACAAATATTATATGCTACATAAATATGTGTTCAATCACACATATTTATATGTGCTTAGGTATGTCACTTTCCAAACTATTACAACTTATAAATTTTCATTCATTTTCTATTCCCTATACTTGAGGATATTTTTAAATTAAAATACTTTTTCCAAGAGAAATTTCATATGTTTGGCTCAAGACTAAACAGCTTGAGAAAACATACTATATTCCAGAAGATAGTGTACATAATGTATCTGGCCAGGCCATCCCAAAAATATTTTAGGACACACTGGAAAGAATCCGATTCTGGGAATCTGCCATTAACCATCTGTAACATTTTGGAAAACCTCTCCCTTTTCCATGATCTAAAATGTGGTGTTTTAAGTTCAAAATCTAAGCTCTCTAGAAAAAAAAAAAATAAGAAGCCCTGGCAAACTGCAACTTTCCTAGAAATAATCCTGCTCTGGGCCTCAGAGGACCATCCTACTTGGTGCCCCTCTCAAAAATACCATTTAGATTAAGGTTATGCTTAGGTGGGATGTGAAATAAATACCACTTGGTCAAAGAGAGAAGGACAATGTCAAAGACTATTTTAGCATCTATGTAGTAATCTCTAGCCCCAAGCACTGCATAGGTAAAATGGATTCGATCTAAGTTGCTGCTGATAGTAATACAGCACTCTGTAAAGTCTCAGAAGCCTCTAAGCTTTCTGCAGTTGTTCCTTCTTGAATTAACAGAACTTTGAATCAATGGACATTATCTAAAATTACTTCTGCCAGCACATATACCACCTCACCTCCCTCCCTCTCTCTCTCTCTCTCTCTCTCTCTCTCTCTCTCTGTCACACACACACACACACACACACACACACCTGAATCCCTAAATACTTTCTAGAGACCATTTGGGTAGTAACAAAACCCTTACTTTTGAACCTGTGATAGCCCAAAAGCAGATCCTATTCAAAAAAGAAAAACACCTTATAATGAAAACCACTTACAAACAGTATTTTTTTGGTATTTAACTGCACACACACCTGAATCCCTAAATACTTTCTAGAGACCATTTGGGTAGTAACAAAACCCTTACTTTTGAACCTGTGATAGCCCAAAAGCAGATCCTATTCAAAAAAGAAAAACACCTTATAATGAAAACCACTTACAAACAGTATTTTTTTGGTATTTAACTGCATTTTAGTTCATTTTGGAGGACACCTGCTATACATGTTTTCTCATTCAATCCTCTCAGCAACTCTAAATAGGTGTTATTACAGCAGGAACAACAGGCATCTCTCCTCTGGGGAAACAAGCTCATAAAGATAAGCCGCAGAACTAAAATCTGAACTCTAGGTCTTAATGAACACCACAAGGCCACCAAACCAGAAATGTTGTCAGGTTACTTAGAGGGTAAATTACATGAGGAAGAACATATCTAAAATAGAGAAATTCTACAGAAAACTTACAGGAGCGCTAGAAGCATTGTGGCCGTGTCAGGCCCTAGGTCTTAATGAACACCACAAGGCCACCAAACCAGAAATGTTGTCAGGTTACTTAGAGGGTAAATTACACAAGGAAGAACATATCTAAAAATAGAGACATTCTACAGAAAACTTACGGGAGCGCTAGAAGTGTTGTGGCCGGGTCAGGCCCACCCTGATCTCATTCTGCTTTTCCTTTTTCATCCCATTCAGGAGATTCGTACCTGACCAGAAAAGTTCTCTAACATTGCATAGCAGTCTAACAATCCCAAACAAGTCCCACAGATTACCTTGTTGTTCCGCTCTCCAAGTCAGCATATTCAAAGCTTCTTTTGCCTTAGGACTCCCCACTGATGACAAGGCGTAAGTTATGAGAGCTAGAGTATAATTGTCTGAAATTCCTCTACTGAGCTCAGACTCCAGAAAGTTGATAGAATCTTGCACATCGATATTAGGCTTGGAAGAAAAAGAATATATATATTTTTGAATATTCAAAATTACCCATCATGAGGCCAGCAGATGGCAGGTTGGTTAAGATGCTGGACTCCGGTTCAAGTCCCAGACTTGGCAGCCTGCTTTTTCACTTTCTCTCTCTCTCTCTGGTGAACACGTGTTTCCTATAGCAAATTAACAAATAATAATAATGATAAATAAAATTAAATACTTTTTTTAAAAAAAGATAACCCATTCCTACATGTCTTTCTTTCTCTTTCCTTTTTTATTTTTTTATTTTTTTATTTTTTTTTTTTTGAGGATTTTGCCACAGGGCACATGTGGGGAGAGAAAGACAGTGAAAGGGAAAGTGAAAAATTTGTCCCCAAGGGGGATGGCCACGCTACAATCCCTTCTCTAACATTTTCTTCCTAGGACTCTGGGCATGCACACACACATGCACCCGGCGTGATTTTTCAAGCCACCAAGTCCAGGACTCAAACCAGTTGGCCATGTGGGAATCCAGAGCTTTAATTTCCACACCACCTGCTGGTCTCTCATTACTATGAGCCTTAACCTCCATACCACCTGCTGACCTCTCATTACTACATACTTTAAAAATACTTTGAAACATTCATTTTAAAAATAATCTCAGTGTCAATTAAATACCTGGTCTGACCCTAGACAGTGGGAATCAATAAGGAATAATGGCATTTAAAGTTTTTTATGCATTTTAAAAGTAATATTGTTTTTCAGTTTCTGTAAGTAAATAAGTATCATCCCTAGAAGGAATTTAAAATATATATGAAGTGAGCTTTTCCCAGAATTTCTCCCTGTGAGTGTTTCAAACTCAGATGAGAGCAGGAAATACAGCTTGAGAAAGTTATTTCTCATATGATGTAGTGTTGAAAGCTCTAAATTTCCAGTGAAAAGTTCATCTTCTGCATGTCTGGTACTGCACTAGGAAAATAACTGGCATTTAATAAAGAGAATGGCTGTTATCGATCAAGTGAAAAGCAGCAGCTTTGAAGGCGTCAGTCACCAGGACAGCAAAATTAAGCTCCTCACCATAACCTTCCATGCATACTGATTCTCATCTAGGCATCCACACCCATTTAACACAGTTTCAGAGTATGGGTGTGCTTTGCACTAAATTAACAGACATGGTCATTGCTCCATGGTATTTTAGAAACAAAAAGCCTTTACAACCTAAGCTTGCTGAAATTCATTCTCAAATTCTAAAGAATTTTCTTTCCCCTAAAAAATTAACCTTTCCAGGGGCCAGCAGGTGGCATGGTGGTTAAAGTGCTAGACTCCCACATGGCCAATTGTGGTTTGAGTCCTGGACCTGGTAGCTTGCTTTCTCACCTTCCTCTCTCTCTCTCTCTCTCTGTCTCCCTCTGGTCAAATTAAAGAATAAGTAATAATAACGAGTAAATAAATAAATAATTCTTTTAAAAAATAAAAGAAATTAACCTTTCCAGGTATAATATGTATTAATTTATTTTACCCAATAGCATGTACAGTGTGGATATTAAGTTGCAGTTTTAGAATTCTCTTAGATACTTTGAAAGAGTAGATTTATATTTTTATTCTCAGATATCTGAATGTGGTCACAAATGCAAAGCATAAAGATGCTCAAATTTAGATTTCAAATATGTAAAATTTCAAAATCCCAGATATATATATTTGACCCACTAACATCTACCTTCCTTAGATTTCCCACTTGTCAGTTACTACATTCAAGATTAAATACCTGATACTTTTTATATCCCAGCAGAGAAGTAACAATATAGGCTGTGAGTGTTACTGGACTTTTATTGCCACCTTGAAGCTCACTATGGATCACTCTTCCTGGCTCCCAGAATTCACCATTAGACTTCTGACGTCCCTTGATCCAAGTATATGTTCTGTGCAGCACATTCTGGTCAATATCTATGTAAGGATCAGCTTCAAGGAAACATCTTAGAACAAAAGCTGACAACCTTGGCGAAAATGGGGAAATTTACATAAAAAACACATTATAAAGTCATGTAAATAACACTGAGAAAGTAAAACACAATACTTTTTTCTATATCAGAAGGTTCACCAAAGGGAGGAAATAAAAGACAGCAAAGAGACAACATAAACAACTACAGGTCTTCCAGCCCAACACCTAGCAAAGCAAGCATTTGTGTGCATGTAGGTGGGCCAGCCCTGCTCTTTAACTGAAAAGCCTCTGCTCCACGTCTTCCTCTCCTCATCTTCCAGCCCAACACCTAGCAAAGCAAGCTTCCACACACTGAGTGTCTAACAGTTCTAGGTGCACACTAGTGAAACATCTGAATGCTTTTGGGGTCATAGAAAGCCTCAATCCCCACTGAAATGCTACAGAAAAGGGGGAGTAATCTTCATAAATCCAAATTCAAATCTCTTTCTGTGGATACCACATTGAAAAACAAAGTAGTAGAGGAGAAATTGACATAGAAGTATCTCACAGTAAAGTGAAGCATAAAAGTTTACAGTTGCAGAAATCTCCAACAAATTAGCCAAACATAAATATACCACCAAATGACTAAATATCAGAGAAGAGAGACTGCAGAGTGAGCAGCAGGGAAGAAAACAGAGCTGGAAACTGTAACTCAGCCCAGGTACGCCTGTTCTCTAGAAACTGGGAGGCCTTTGTCATAAGCAGTTCCATCAACAAAAGTACAGGTTGCCTGGTGAGCATCAGGGAAACAGAAATGCAGAGATATTGTGGGTCATCTCCTCCCACACACCTCTAACACGCAGAAATAACTCCAAGTAAGTATGAAATAACGTATAATTCATCAGATGACCAGAAACCACTGCAGAGGCACAAGAAATATGAGAAACAAACAACAAAAAGAAAACTCTCCCCCAAGGGGAAAGACCCCTTCATCATCCACAGACAGTACAGTGGAACTCATGGAAATATAAGATAAAGAATTTAGAATATTCATGGTGAGAAAGCTAACAGAGATGCAAGAGAAGAGAGACAACGAACTCCAGAAGGTGCAGGAGAAAAGAGATGAGTTCCGGGAGGTGAGAAAGTTCTCGTATGATCTTAAAGAGGAAATATACAACATAAAAAAGAATCAAACGGAACTGTTAGAGATAAAGGCTGTAATACAGGAAATCAAAACCTCCCTTGAAAGTATGAAAGGCAGATTAGATCATCCAGAAGAGTGAATCTCAGATGTAGAAGACAGAACCTCTGACCTAGAAAAATTCACCAAAAGACTAAGAAAAAAATAATGAGAATAATATATATGTAATACTAGATCCTATTAGACACCAAAACATCTAGATAGTCAGTATCCCAGAAAGTGAAGAAACTAATCAGGGCATTGATAATCTATTCCATGAAACCCTGGAAGAAAACTGTCAAGACTAGAGAGGCATTCAAATATCCAAACTTAAGAAATACAAAGGACTCCACATAGAATCAACCCAAAAAGATCTTCTCCAAGGCACATCAGAGCCAGACTGACCAAAACTACAGACAGAGACAAGATACCAAAATTAGCAAGAGAGAAATGTCAAGTTACTTTCAAAGGATATCACATCAGGCTAACATCGGACCTCTTGTTAGAAACAATGCAAGCAATGAGAGAATGGGAAAATACATTCAGTGTTAAGTGAAAAACAATTTCAACCAAGAATACCAAATCCGGCAAGATTATCCTTCATATGTGAAGAAAAGACTGAAACATTCTCAGATAAACAAAACCTAAAAGAATTTACCAACACCAGACCAGGTCTTTGAGAAGTTCTGAAGGGAGTGCTATACCAGGAAAACTAAAGACAGACAGAAATAATAGAACAAAATAATGATCAAGAAAAAGACCAAATTAATGGTAGGGACAAGTTCAAAAATATCAATAATAACGTCGAATGTTAACTTCCAGGATTCAAATGGAAAGATCAGACCACAGTAACACTGCAAATTCAACAAAACAGAGATTACATGAGACTGAACTGGTGAAACGGAATTCTATGACTTTTATCTAAAACCTTACTGATTTTTTTCTATGCTTTGTCTTCCAGATTTAAGGATTTTGGTTTTCTTGTGAGTTGTTGATAGGTTCAGCAATTTATTATTTTTTTATTGAAACGTAAACTTTTCTCACTTTCTGACCCCTCTGCAATTGGAAAATATTTGTGAGATTCTTATTTTGCAGCAGAATGGTTATTTGCGTAAGTTCAATAATACAATAGTATCTGTTGTTGTGCATCAGAAATTGAATTCTTATGAGGCTTTGTGCAAATAACAGATCAAATTGAGACTGACCTAATTTTTTTTTTCAAATAAGTTCGTTTATACCTCTCTTCAGTAAAAGGAGGGATGGAGAGAGAAAAAGATGTTTCGGAAGAAAATTACAGGGCATTTGTCACTAGATTTTAGCTTTGTCCATATTGTTAGTTTAAGATCCTTTATGAATCAATAAAAAGTAAAATAAATAAATAAATAAAAAGTTTAGTATGGAATGGAGGGAGGGAGGGGAAAGGGGAAGAAAAAAAGTAAAAGTATGTTTAACTGACAAAAAGATGAGAAGCTATGTACTGATGATAATGTATATAGTAATATCTTTGTCTTGACTGACATGCATGGTATTCATGCTGGGAAAAGAAATGTACACTGTAAAGACATATATGAATAAATGTAAATAAATTTTAAAAATAAAATAAACAACTGCCTAGCAGATGGATCTGGTTTCCACATGAGCATGACCAAGAAATTTCTGGTCAACACAAAATACTGCATTTTAGAAAGGAACTTGAAAATCATATGACTCAGACTCATTATTTTATAGAATGAAAATTCAATGCTCTAAGATAGTAAAATAAATTGTTCAAGGTTACTCATCTTTGGACTATTTTAAGTATTTACCAAAGAAGATTTCATACACACTTCACTTAGCCCTAAAGCCTGGATGAATACATACACCTTACAAGCAAACTGTAGCACTTCAAGTGAGGAGGATAGATACTTTCTCTCCTATAGGACAGGAGTCAGCAAGCCACACCTGTAGGCCAGATCTGCCTGGCCCAATCCCAGGGCCTGTTTGTGTGTGTTCCTCCCACCCCTCCACTTTCACACACACCCGCCACTAGCACCACCACTGAAAATGATTTCTAAAGAGAGAAAGAAAAGAGAGGAGAGAAGAGAAGAAAGAAGAGAGAGGAGGGAGGGAATGAGGAAATAGGTAGTACGGAGGGAGGAAATGGGAGAGAAAGAAATAATACACAATAAAGATTCTACGGGGCCTGAAATTCCTAAAACATTTACTCGACACTTTATTTGACACTTTACAGGAAAACTTTGCCAATCCCTCTGACAGAACACTATTGAGGTGAAAAGAATGCCAAGCAATAAAACCCTAAAACCTTTATATATATGGATCTATATCTATCTATCACTCATGCCAAGAGAAAATAAGAAGCAGATCTACTTCATCTTATAAAAAACTTAGTGAGGTAAACATTACTAATATTTAATAATATCCAGATTTCTTTTACTTTGTGTGTGCTAAGCAAGTTAGTTCCTTGCCTCCTTGAAGGTAGACATGCCACCCAACCAGCTCTGGTAATGTGAGTAGAAATGTTACTCAGGCTGAAGCATCTATTAATTTCCAGTTGTTAGGTATTCTAGTCTTCTCTTCCCAGGCTATGGCAAGTCTCAGCCTCTTGAGATGGTGGTAGCTGAAGCAAATATCACAGAGCCCCCTGCTGACCCATAATGAAAATGCGGCACAACCAGAAATAAATGTTGGGAACGCCAGATAGCATAATGGTTATGTTGCTGGACTTCCACATAGTCAACTGTGGTTCAAGTCCCAGACCCAACAGCTTAAAATTCACACCAGGTGCATGTGCATGTGTGCCCAAGAGGAGAATGGAGGAGACAAGATTGCAGCATGGACCTCCCTATTTGGGGATGATTTCTCGCTTTCTGTCTATCTCTCTCTGTCTCTCTGGCAAACACACATACCCTACAGCAAAAATCTCTGTAAAAAGGAAAAAGAAAAGAAAGAAAAAGAAAAGGAAAATTAATGAACTATTGAGATTTAGGACATTGGCTGTTACCACAGCACACCTAGTCTAACCTGACTGATAAAGTCAATCTTCTTCTGATTAAAATATGAAATTAAAGATAGTGCAATTATCTAGAATCATTCTAAATCAACCACATGATGAATTCTAGAGGAACTGAATTTTAATGACTTAACCCCATCCTAGTTTGTTTCTCTAAAGTATAGCCTTAAAGAAACTACGTTGACTGTATTAACACAACACCTATGCTAATCATGTCATATTATGGAAAAAACTATGTCACAATGACCAATTTTTCTTGTCAGCTACACCATCATCATAAGTATTTTTATTGCTGCTTTTCTCACCCAAAGGAAAAAAAAAAAAAAGATTTAGGACTTGTCTTTTCTAAAAAAAACAACAAAAAAAAACATTGATTTGTTAATGTTTTAAAATTATATTTTAAAAGGATAGTCTTTTTTAAAAGCAAAAAAAAAGAGAGAGAGAGAGAAATATAGCTGCCAGGTCTATACATACAGATATTTCAGGGCCATTGTAACCTAGTAAAAGCTCATTCCACAATGCAGATTTCTGTATTTGGCAAAAAACACTTACCAAGTACTCCCAGAAGGATCATCATTCCCAAAAGCACTGAAAGAGCCATCTTCCCTCTGATAGAGAAGTTCTCTTTGGTAACCTGAAGGCACAAAAATGGACAGATATCCAGTGTAATCAACTTACAATAAATGAAAGTGTGTAATTGTGACTTCATATTGCAGCAATGTCGGCAGAGAAGAGGAAAGAAGACATGAAGTCAACGATTAATATTGAGTACTTTCTATTTTAGCTATTACAGGAAATTTTAAATAAGAGGACTTTTCAAGCAAAATGCATACAATAAAAACTATGATATTTCCAACTAAGTAAATCCTAAAGAATATTACAGCATGGACAATACTTCCAGTCATTCAAAAGTAAGCAAATTAAAGGTAGAAGTTTACTAAACTCTCCAGTGCTCACCATAATGGTTTCAATGCTCAGTCAACTGAAATCGTATACTGCCTAAAAAAAAAACACTGCCTAGGGTATCATAATTAAAGTCTAAGGCCAAAACACAGCATAAAATATTTCTTATTTTTAAGCCAGTGAAAGAGTGGAAAATGCTAACTAATCTAAAATAATGTCTCTTAAATATTTTGGCCATAGCCAGCTGAGATAAACAAAAAGACCAACTGAACCTAACATACCAACACCACTTTTCCACTCAAAAAAAAAAAAAAAAAAGGACTGAATATGGTAAGTACCAGTACCACTACAGAATGCAGAAGCAAACTGGAGAGGATGTTATCATGTATCTGCTTGAATAAGCAAATGCCTCATGATTACAAGTAAAAGGCAGGTATTACATATTTGCAAAGTAATGCGGATAGGTCTCAAAGTCTAGCGAGTGAGAAAATCATGAGCCAAATAATATAAGATTCACTAAACAACCCATAATCCACCAACTTTCTGAAAACAGTTAAAGTAGCAATAATTTATTATCAAAAAGCAAGCATAAGCAGGAACATTCCATCTCAGAGCATTATCAATGATTCTCTGAAGACCAAGTGTCCTTCCTGAAAATGACAGGACTTCACTATTGGCAGGCAAGGGTGCACCGTGTGAGCCCTGCAGCATGACCAGAGCAGAGCTGGCAGCCAGCTTCATCGGCAGCATGTTAGACTCAGTCCCCAATAAGCTAGTAACAAATGAATTTAACTTTATTAATAACATATTCTAGAAGCATCAATAACCATAAGTAATTATTCATATGTGACTAACAAAACAGAAGCATGAATTGTTTAAGATTAGTTAATCTGCTCTTTTCATTGAAGTGCAAACTTTGCTCTTTGGGCCTTTCTTTCCTCAAGAAATCCTAGATCTGAGTATGTGATTTAAGTTGCAATAAGACGAATATACAAAAAAAAAAAACAGGTACTATGTATGAGGGTGATCTTTAAGATTTGTGGTAAAAGAAATATAAACACTTAAAGGAATAGCAGAACTTTTCTTCATTAAAAGATGAAACAAACTGTTAGAGTATCATCTTTATATTCACAACTGAAATTTATGGTTAGGAAATAAAATAGCCAAGCTTTACTTTTCCATTGTCTAGATGTCAGGAACAGTGCAAAGCCTTTTGCAGGTATTAACTTAGGTAATTTTCACAATGACCCTAAGATGCAGATGCTATTATTATCTCCTTTTTACAGGTGATGAGACTAGAACTCAGAATACAAATGCCATGTGCATAGTCACACAGCTGATAGGTAAAGAAGCTAGGAATTAGCCAAGGTCTACCTAGCTCCAAAGTCACTGTCTCCTAGTAAACCAAAGAGCTCTTTCAATGATAAAACATGATAAACATGATAATATATTTAAAAAGTACCTTTTAAAAGCCATGTTTTCAATAAACATGGGCATTACTCGTTAACATGAGTGTAGGAAAAGGCTAAGCACTAGATACAATAAAATGTAAAACTGATAAATTTGACTAAAAAAAAGATTTTCCATGGTAAAACACACTAAAAGTGGATTAAAAATCAAATAAGGGGGACCACCGTATGGTATACATTGCTGGACTTCCATGTAGTTGACTGCAGTTGAGTCCCAGACCCAGCAGATTAAAACTCACACTGGGCATATGTGCATGCATGCCTGAAATCCCGAAAGGACGATGGAGGAGAAGGGACTGTGGCATGGTAATCTCCCTGGGTGTGTGTGTGTGTGTGGGGGGGGGCGGTGATTTCTCACTTCCTGTCTCTATGTCTCTCCTTATCTCTCTGGAGAGGGCATGCACCCTATAGCAAAAATCTCTCTTAAAAAAAAAAAAAGACAAAATAAAACTAATAAGGAAGGGGCCAGCAGTTGGTGTAGTGGTTAAGGAGTCGGACTCTGACATCGCCAGCTGCATTTCGAGTCCTGGACCCAGTGACTTGAAACTCACAGCAGGCACATGTGCATGCATGCCCAAAATCTCAAGAGGAGAATGGAGGAGAAGGGATTGTGGCATCGTCATCCCACCAGGGGTGATTTCTCACTTTCTCTCTCTCTGTCTCTCTGGCAAATGCACTTACCCTATAGCAAAAATCTCTAAAACAGAAAAAGAACAGTAAGATTTTAAAAGAAAGCACCTGCAACAGCAAAGATAGATAAATAACTAATAATAATAGTAACATAAACATTTTATTCACTTGTTTATATATTAACATATACATATGCATATAAATAACTTTAATAATTGAGGAAAAAAGACTTTAAAATACTAAAAACGTGAATAAAATACAAAAACAGATAAATCACAAATAACAGATATAAAGATGGAGTCTAATATATATTAAGAAAACCCTCAACCTCATAATAAAAATGCTAGTGTAAACTAAACTGAGGTACAATTTCTCACCTGTCAGATTAGCAAAGATTCAAGATCTGACCAATCATTCTGTCAAATAAGCTGTAAGAAAACTACTCATTCATTGTTAGAAGAATTAAGAATGATAGAACTACTAAACAAGAGAATATCTTTACCCTTTGATCCAATAATCTCACTTCTAGAAATCTACCCTGTAGATACACTTTCAACAATACAAAAATATATATTCATAAGATTATTCATTGCAGCATTACTTACAAGTATAACTTGGAAACTACCTTAATACCCCCAATTGGAGGTTGGTTGGATAAACATAGCTACATACATATGCAGCTATGACAAAAGAATAAGGTAGGCCATCCCCATAGCGCAGCAGTTAAGAGCTGCACAAAGAGAGGTAGATACCACATGGCCAACCACAGTTTTAATGCCAGCCCTAGGCCTTAAAAAATGCACTGGGCATCTGCAGCGGTGCCCAGGCTCCTGACAGGATGGAAAAATAAAAGAAAACATATTGTATCATGACTTTCCTCTTCTCTTTTCTCTTTCTCTCTCTCTCTCTCTCTCACACCTTTTGGCATTAAAAACAAAAGAATAAGGCATATCTTTATGTGCTGATGCAGGGTTATTTCCTGGTTATGCTGTAAGTGAAAAAGGCAAAATCTAAAATAGCATATATATTATATTACCTATTGTGAAAGACAAAGGGGAGATAAGAAAAAATACATGTGTATGTTTGCTTTTGTAAAGACAGAATATAAACTGGAAACTAATAAGCTGGGTTATTCAAAGATGCAAGGAGAAGAAAAAGAAGAGGTTTAGACACCCCTTTGAAAATATTTTTACACATAAGTTTGATCATATCAATGTTCTATACATTCAAAAAATAAAATAAGCAAGAGTGGGAAAAATTAAATGATAAACATTATTATAAATACTACCCTGGTTCATTTTGTTATGTTTTAGATCTCTTTTAGCTCATCACCTTGAAGAAATACCTTACTTGCAATCTCTTTGTTTTTCAGAGGTTTTCAGGGGTCACAGAACAGCAGAACATCTTTTTTAATAATCACAGAAAAAAATTAACTAACGAGTCCAGGACATTCTTCCTCAATATCCAATTCAGGAAATCTATCAGATAGCCAGAGTTTAACTATGAACTCAATCTAATAGAAAAGAGGAGAGAAGGAGAGGAGAAATGAGGAAAGAAGAATAAAAGAGAAAAGAAAGGGAAGGGAAGGAAAAGGAAGGGAAAGGAGAAGAGAAGAGAAGAGAAGAGAAGAGAAGAGAAGAGAAGAGAAGAGAAGAGAAGAGAAGAGAAGAGAAGAGAAGAGAAGAGAAGAGAAGAGAAGAGAAGAGAAGAGAAGAGAAGAGAAGAGAAGAGAAGAGAAGAGAAGAGAAGAGAAGAGAAGAGAAGAGAAGAGAAGAGAAGAGAAGAGAAGAGAAGAGAAGAGGAGAGGAGAGGAG